GTCAAGTGAAATAAAGTAAATTTTATATACTGTTTATATTTTATCAACTAATTTCAGTAGATAAAGTAGTCTTTTATCGTCTTGTGAAATAAAGTAATTTTTATCTATATTATATTCAAGAAATTCTGGTAGGTGAGTACAAAATAAAACGAAATATTATATACGACGATAAAGATTGTTCATCTACTCGTGAATAAAGTCCACTCGTGACTTCGTCACTCGTAAACTTAACCTTTTCACTCGTAGATAAACTATTTCTTTATCGTCTTGTATAATAAATAACTATTAATGAATATTTTTCCATTTATTAAAATGTTATATTTTAATTAGGTATATATTTTTTTAGTGTACAGTTGTTGCACTAATTATTTCCTTTTTTTTATTTACGACCACTAAATAATACGTTTGTTACTTAGGTAACTATAGGTACATTATGCTATGAATAAATTGACTTACTATAAGTCACTAGTGACTTATCATAAACCACAAATCTATCATATAAATTTAAATTTTGTAAGTAGAAAGTGTTTTATTAAAAATGATCGTAGATAAAATGTCGTATTTGACACGCACATAGTGGCTGTAATTGTGGATAAACTTCATCCTCGTGAATTATAGCCTCCATTATGTGCTCGTTAAATAATATACTATTATTACAATATTATAAATCAAAAACTGTGTTAAATAATATGCAAAACCTTATGTTCAGTCAAACATTTTCTTCAAAATTTTGCATAAAATAATTAATATATGTAGCTATTTCCGCATTACTTGTGTGCAATATGACCTGAAAATATTTTTTCTTATTGAAACTGAAAGGAGTCGGCAATTTTATGATAATTAGCAATTAATATTTTAATTTTTGGGTAACAGGTAAATAATAAATAGGTAATGATTAATGAATAATAAATTACGATTTGTCCAACTAAAAAATCGAATTCTGAAAAATACAGAGTGAATAAAAAGTATGGACCCAAGCGTTTTTTTTTAAATTTTTTTGGTTACAAAAAATAATAATTAATAAAAATTAAAATGGTATTTAAACTGTGATCGTGATAAAATTTGGTTTTGTTTTTCTCTTAAGTATGCTATATTTTTTGTCAAAATGGCAATTTATCTGAAAAATTTTTTTGATAAAAATTGATAAGCAGATGAGAGCTTTTATGAAAAAAATGGCTTTGTAGTGCGTTATCATTAAAAAAAAATAAATACAAAAAAAAAACAAAAAAACATTAAAAAAAATTCTTGATCAAAAGTCCCATTTTTATAGTATTTTATGATTCACCAATAAAAAGTATGGACCCCAGCGTTCTTTTTCTAATTTTTTGCTTTCAAAAAATCAATAAAAATTGTTGAAATTTGGTTTTGTTTTTCACTTGTATGCTATATTTCTTGTCAAAATGGCAATTTATGTGAAAAATTTTTTTGATAAAAATTGAATAAAAAGCAGATGAGAGCTTTTATGAAAAAAATGGTTTTGTAGTGCGTTACCATTAAAAAAAATAAATACAAATTTTGCAAAACTCAAAAACAAAAAAACATTAAAAAAATATTGTTGATCAAAAATACCATTTTTATAGTATTTTATGATTCATCAATTAGTTTAAAAAAATGTTTTAAGCAAAAAACGTTTGGTTCTATACTTTGTATGTGCTCTTGAAAACGTATAGTATTTGGGGTACTTTTATTTCCTAATATTTTTTTAATGGACAAAGAAATTAAAGGAGTAATTTATTTGATGGGAATTTCTATAATTGAATGATAAAATTTGAAGTAAACAAGGAAATGTGAAAGGCAAATTTTAATTGCCTGAACAATGCAAATAATCAGAAAAGTTGTAAATTGCATGTTATACAGCAGCCTAATTGTAATTGCTTAATATAAATTTTCATTAGTTTATTTATTATTCAAGAAGCTTTCGCGTGTTCTTGGCCATAAAATTAAATAATCGAGCCTAACATAATGGGTTAAATAAACCTGTCGAGAAACTGTAATTCAAACTGTTTTTAGTGTTATGGTTCATAGAAAAAATTACTCACCTACTGGCGTTTCTTTGCCTTCTTTCAGTCTTAAAACAATTTCGGTTTGGCCATTAATTAAAAACCTAGGTGGTCTATTACATTGCACTGAATTTATAACACACACAATCACACACATAAATAAAAAATTTGTTTGTTTAAACCGCACTTTAACGAAATGTCCACTAAATGTCCTCACATATTTATTCGTCTTCTGATCCATGATGTGCTATTTTTCTTCCTTAGCCCACTTTTGCGATGCATAAATCCTGTGTCTGCAGCACGACTTGGCGTGAATCTTCTTCATGGTTAAGGCTCTTCTCTATGACTGATTTTCAGCTTATTTTTAATTTACTTTCACTGAAACAAACGACGGATTATACAGCATCATGGGCGTTTCAATGGGGCATGCGAGGCTTAATTGCGGTTCTCACACGACGGCTTTTCTATTTCAATTTTATCGAATATTTTACTTTAAGAATTAATTACGTTGATTTATAGATAGGGGAACCAGCTTTTGTGGATTTCACTTTACTAATTGTTGAAATACAAGTAAGGAAATTTATACGCGCTTAATGATGTTTTTTACAGACAAATTTTTAATTAAAACTGAAAGAAATGTATCAAAGTTGAGACGTTTAAATGTTAATTAAGTGGTTGGGATATAAATGTCCTATGTTTCTGATTTATTAACAATTTTTCTCTAATGATAAAGTGACCTGGAAACCAGGTAAATGAAAGTCAACAATGACAATCATATTGAGAACGAGTACAAAGAAAAACTTGACAGATGTCATTAATTTGATTGTTGACATGTAACGGCTTCTTTTAGCTATATCTTGTCTTTTATCTTCGTCATGGTGCTTGCAGAACTCCTGGAGTGCATCGAGTCGTAGTGCTCGTCGGACATTGACCACCAAAGGTGGAAATACTGACCAGACATGAGCAAAATCACGGTTTTTTTTCTATAAAATTCTGTAAAAATTGCATTTGAAATTTGCACGATAATTTTCCCACGGTTTTAAGCAGTGGAGGTATTACATAATAATTTGCACTGATGGTAACAATGCTAATGAAGCACCACTCCATGCTTCCTTTATTGTGCAAGGGAGCAAATTTAATTGAATCTTAAATTTTCTAACAGTGTTGTTGTTTTTGAATTATAGAAATATTATTTTTCCGTAATTTTTTTTCGATTCCATTACTTCTTTTTAAAATTAGCATACTTTTCATTCGACAATTATTATTAAAACCGTTATAATTGTGTTTAATTATTGATTAAATTTAACGGTGGTGCAAATGGCGCGTCAAAATAAAAAATAACAGGAATTCAAATTTTTTAAGATTTATTTGACTTAAATGATTCAATGTCATGAAAAAACTATGTTTTTACTATTACACAAATGAATCTTAAATAAAACTCAAAACCTGAAAATCGATCAAAATATCCACAAAAAAATGCATTGTTGTTAAGGCGTATTTGAGAAAAATTGAATTTCTTAAGTTTTTGAAAGTGAGTTCAGTAAATCGTAAAAATGATCGATTTACCTCAAATATCGTCTTCTAGACGTAAAATATCGCATTGAACACGATGCAACAGGTTAAAATGCTTTACGACGCGTTTTTTGAGATATTGAGCAATTTCAATCGAAATCACCCAAAAATTATTCAATTTTTAGCTCGACAGATTTGTAATCAATTAAACGGAATTTGAGACATGTTCAAAAAACATTTTTATAGACTTGAGAGTGTTAAAAAAAATTTCCTTTTTCTTATTTTTTGAATTTTGACTAAACTATAGCCAAAATCAATAATATTTCAAACTATATACGTATGTATATAGTTAGTAAACTGCAAATTTTGCAATAATTTAGACTCAAGTTTAGAAGTTATAGTCGAATGTATATTTTAGATATTTTTTAATTAATTTAGAATTATTTCAGTGTTAAAATTAAGCAAGATTGCATTGTAAGTATCTTAAATTGCTTTATTTTGAAAGAAATCGGTCATTTGAGCATTTATTTTATTAAAAAACTTTGATTAGGGTTGATTTTCGTCTTAAAATTGAGCCAAATTGATTGAAAATAGCACAAATTGCTTTATTTTGGCCTAAAATTAGATTTTAAGCATTTATTTCTATAAAATACTTTAATTTAGAACGATTTCTGTGTTAAAATCAAGCAAAATTGGGTTGGAAATGGCTCAAATTGCTTTATTTTTTAGAAAATTCTTATTTAAGCATTTATGCATTTATTTTGTTGAAATACTTTGATTCAGGTTGATTTTCGGCTTAAAATTGAGCCAAATCAATTGGAAAGAGCACAAATTGCTTAATTTTGGCCTAAAATTAGGTTTTAAGCAATTATTTTTGCAAAATACATTGATTTAGAATGTTAAAATCGACCGAAATTGGATTGGAAATAACTCATCAAATTGCTGTATTTTGGCAGAAAACTGTTATTTAAGCATTTATTTGATTGAAATGCTTTGTTTCAAGCTGATTCTTGGCTTTAAGTTAAGCCAAAACGATTGAAAATAGCACAAATTGCTTAGTTTTGGTCTAAAATTGGATTTTAAGCAATTATTTTTATAAAATACATTAGTTTAGCATGATTCCAGTGTTAAAATTAAAGAAAATTGGATTGGAAGCAGCTCAAATTGCTTGTAACAAAACTGTTATTTAAGCATTTATTGTGTTGAAAAACTTTGATTTAAGTTGATTTTTAGCTTAAAATTGACCCAAATCGATTGAAAATAGCACAAATTGCTTCACTTCAGCCTAAAATTAAGATTGAAAAAATTATTCATTTTTTAATATAATCGAAAAAAAAAATCTTAGCTATTTGACACTTTCTACACGTACCATGATTTTTTTTAACTTATTACTAATTTAAATCACAGCTGTTATGCCTACTTGTTGCGAATCGTTGAAGTAGTTTTAGTAACTAGTGCAGAAATATGGAGAAATTTCCGTGGTTTTATAATCTCCTAGTCCATCTTAACATCTCCCAAGAGCAATGCGGTTCATTAAGATGTGAGTTAATTTCGGCGCCTTAGCACTCCTTGTTTTAATTTTTCCATTATGCTAATTAATATTTCGTTTCGTGATTGAATTATTTTCATTAATTTTCTTCGATGACAGCTCCGCTAATGTTTTAAATTCGAGTGGGTATCAGATATAAATCAATCAATTAAATTCTTGACAAGTCTGGAATTAAAACAGTTTTCTTGTACACCGATCGTGCCAGATAGAAGCTTTCAGCATGTGCAAGAGGCGAGATGAATGGTCTGAAAATTACACGCTTTGGTTTTCTGCAATTATCAATTTCCCGCATTGGAGATAAACGCATGAGTAGCACAATGGGATAAATTACTCCAGAGATTTTCTCTGATTTTTTCTGTGACGAATCCGAGATCATCGTAAATTACAGTCATTTGGGCGTTTGCACAGTCCAGTGAAACTCCGAACATCACGAATTGTTTCGGTAAGTTTCTCTTTATAAGATTTTATCATTAGTAACGAATGCAATCTATTTGTGTAGATATAAAAATCTATCGGTAGATTAATTAGCTTTGGAGGCTGGGAATTGGCTATCCATACGCCACTCATGAAGAGAAACTTGTTTTATTTTAAGTAAAAGTTTAATTAATGTTTCGGTTGCTAATTAAAAAAATTCGATTTTTACAATACTGACAAATGTGGGTCACTTGTTAATTATTCCATCCGGTGTGTCTTACATTTTATTATGCATTTAGAGTTGCGTAAGAAACGAAGATCAAAGATAAGCCGGATGATAATTAAGCGCGTTTTAGTTAAATTTGGTGGCCTATTGTTGTCATTCCTCTAAAGAAATAAATGGCCGGAACTGAAATGAACCTGAACTAGTTATTTATGACACTGGAATCCAGCCCAAGCCGTTAGTCTCTTAATCGACATATTATTTCCAGGCTCCGAAACACTTTTAACACATATCTAAATCGGTAATGTCTTATTAATTATGAGAAATAAATTTCTCCGACCATCCTGTCTTTAATCACACCTTAGGGAAATGAGAAAAGTAGGTGCGTAGAAGCGGCGATTGTTCAGTAAAAATGAGATTTTTGCATGATGAGTAAATTTTTAATTTATGGTTGATGATGAGTATGAATTTGGTACAAAAATGAAATAATTTGCATGTGGTCAATGTCAGTTTTAGTGTATAGTTTGTCATTGGCCTAATAATTTAGCTTTTGTACAAAATATGTACTTACCCATAACAAAATAAAATGTTTCATTAAAATGTGTACTGAAATGAAAGGAAATTTTAATAAAAATTTAACCATTTTCAGAATGTGTACACCTTTCACTATTTTCCTTTTCCTGCCTAATTATTTTCTTACATTCCCATGTGAGATATTGATTATACATACTCACTGAAACATGCAAATATTGGTAATGATTTATGAGCATTGCCGATTAATTTTCTCATAATAAAGGTGTGTTCAGAAAAACTTGTTTCTATTAGCATGATTTTTCAACGTAATTTTCTGTTTTAAATTCATTTCAAATTGATCGAATAAAAATATCAGTGTTTTTATTAACTTTTTGTATTTTCAATCGAAAGAAAACGAAACCAATCAAAGAAAGAATGACAAGGCAACCGCCACATTACGCTAACGCTACTGTATTTTGTTCTTTTGATAGTATTATTGCAACTTTCTTTAAATAAATTAAAAATAAACATTGAAAAAAATCAATTATTTCGATTACAACAATGACACTGTAATTTTATGTTACGCCAATAGTTTCTTTCACTCTAAATAATTATGAAGGAATCATTTTACAAAATTTCAAAATTCGTGGATATACAGTATGTCCCCGGATTGGGTTTACAAGAGGAATATTTTTTTTATCTTTGATTTTAGGCAAAAACTGCAAAAAAAACATTTTTTGCTTCACCTGAAACGAGCAAATCTGTGATTAAAACTTTATTATTCTAATTCAGTGAAAAAAAGTTAGTTTTTCTCTTGATTTTGGACTTTCTCTATGCTTTTTATCACAATGGCTGTTTTATTTATTTGACAACTATATGTCACTTTGACAATTAATTTATTAATTGAATAATGATTTTCTTTGAGTTGCCATTTATTAAAATTATGTTTTTCACAAACATTTTTGTTATTTAACTTGCGTAAACTCATTAGTCAACGTGACATCATCAATTATTAGCTAAAATTAATAGATAAATAAAATGATAATAAACTATAAACATTAAAAAATCATTATTTCAATAGCCAAAAAGTGCACATTTGCACAAGAAATTGAAGAAATATCACTCAATAATCAGGCAATAGACAATTTATCAGTCTATCAGATGCAA